ATGCTACATCCACCTAGTGCTGGGTTACAGGTGCACACTGCTGCACCTGCCCCCCTGTGCCCATCAGAGTTGAGAACTGAGCTCCAACACTCGTGTATGAAAAACAGGCACTTCACCACTGAGCTGTCACCCTAGATCCAGAGGAAGACTCTCGTACACTTGCAGGTCATGTGACCCCAACGCCAACCTTCATTTAAGTATTTTATCAGTCATTATTTTTATGAATTTTTATATGAGGCAATAGGTATTATTTGATCATTTATCATTTAGTAAGTAGAATTTTATAGTGTTTACCTGCCCTACAACCTTCTGATGTTATTCTGGCCCTGCCTTAGTTTAGAGGAAATTCTTACCCACTAGAGCCTTCAGTATTGTTCTCAAGTATTATGCTCACCCCCCACCCACACACACACACCTCTTTCTGGCATTCTACTACACATATAATAGGTGTTATCTAGTTTCCTGACTCTTCTTTGCTATTCTATTCTGACTTTTTTTCTCTGCTAATTCTAATACCAGAAATTTCATGCAACATCTTTGGTCTCAGAGAGTTTGTCTAGTCCCTGTGTTATTTATTCATTGGCCCATGAAAAGTTCCTTTCGTTTCTTATATGATGGTTGGTCTCTGGTCATACCACCATGAACATGCCGGATCTCCTCTCATCTTATATAATGGTTGGAAGTGGCCAGTGATTGTATTGTCAAGTTGACAGGATCTAGAATCCCGAATGATACGAAGCCTCCCGGGACATGTATGAGGCACTGTCTGATTGGGTTAACCTCTTCTCATGCCTGTGAGGGAATATTTAGATTAGTTTAGCCTCTGCGCACACCTGTGCAGTCACATGTTTGGTAAGTGAACACCGAGTTTCAACCTGAATTCCAATAATTGATTTATTTTAATATATATACATTGATGCAGTGTCTCTTGTGTAATTTTTTCCTTATTGTGTCTTTTCAGAAATAGCTTGTTTTTATATCTAATATATGTTAGCTTAGAGGGAGGCAAATTATTTACTTTTAATATCCTTTGTTTTTCTCATTTTTCCTTAGTTTAGCTAGAAACTTTATATGATTGATCTTTTCACATAATTGGCCTGTGTATATTGTTCTATTTTTTCTAAGATTTCCTTGGCTACCACTATATTTTTTCCTTGTGTTTACTTTCGATTTATTTCATTTTTAGTGTCTGTATTTTAATATAAAGCATAAATGTTTTCCTTTTGTCTATATTACACGATGTTAATTTTCCTCTCTACAATTATGCTTCATACAGATTCACACAAACTTTGTTTTAAAACCTTTTATTTAAAAATAATTTTAAATTTCCCAAAGTTATTTATTCATCGTTACTTTATATAAAATATATGATTTTATCACTAGGAAATTTGTATTTATTTTTTGATGATGATTTCTATTTTAACTTTCTATGGCTTGATAGCTGAAACTTTGATTTCTATTCCTCTTGGGTGTTAAGATGTGCTTCGACCTTGACTTGGTCTGTCGTGACCTTGAGAAGGCCATATGACCTGCTGTTGATGCAGGAAGTCAGTGATCCAGTAGAGCTGTGTCCTTGCTGGTTTTCATTCTTTTCTTCAGTCCACTTCTGATAAGGGGATATTGAAATGCCCAATAAAATAGTAATTTCTCCTTCTTTCCACTTTTATTTTTTCATAGTTTTCCCTAAAAACTTGACACATTATATTCTTTCAATACAGGTAAAAGGTTATGCCCTCTTCCTTTGGCACTGAGCCATTATCAGCATAAAATAACTTTCTCCCTCTTAACTTGTAGTCTAAAATTGATTCAATTCTTAATAATCTATTTGCAAATGAAGCATTTATTTCTCTGAACCATGTCCCCTTTATTTTATACATGTAATGGCTACATGGGAAGCATGCAACTTCTGAGGATCATCTTGTCCCAGATGTTATATGTTAGCCTTGTAGACAGTAACGTCATCCTTGGGTCCTGGAGTTACTTGGGAATCTGAGGTCCTGTCACTGCAGGTTTCCCTGGAGAGGAGAAAACAGGATCAGATGTAAGCTCATGGGAAGCAGGGACGATCTGGATTGGAATGATCTGGACCTGGTTTAACCTGTGCCTCCGGATTTGCTTTTCTCACTGAATGTTTCCACAGTGGAGCTAGCACATGACGTCAGAAGGATAATGAAGTCGAAGGAGAATGTGCTGTGCAGATGTGAGTCTTTCTACCTTCCACATAGAGAGCTAGCTAGCTTCAAGAGAGAGAACAGTTAAGAGAACTCTTGGGGATAAGTTGTTTTAAGAGGTGGCTGGCGCTTAAGTCTTGTTAGGATTCTAGTATTACTGGTGATCAGTGTCCAGGGTTGGATGTTTCCATGTTCTCAACTAGTTATTCAAGAGTTGAAATGAATATGCCTTATACATTGCAAAAGTAACAGAGAGACATTATAAACAAAACCATTGAACGTGCCAGAAAACACTGCAAGGGAGTCAGTGGCCAAGAAGGAAAGTTCCTCGGGGGCCGGGGACTATTGCTTGGCACTTGCTTTTAATGGGATTTGAGGGAAGGTGAAATGTGGTTACTTCTTTTTACAATTGGTAATGGTTAGTGTAGACCCTTATAACTGGTCAAAGTGCCACAGGTGAGTAACTTGAGAGCTCATTGGGGGTCATCTATGGTAGATTTTCCTCTATCCAAAGAACAAGGAACATCCTGGAAGAGGGTACAGGAAGAACGTCAGAGCCATTGGATGGGGACGAGAGCCGTGAGATGCCAGCTTCTGAACATGACTCGGTTGTTGCACACATTGACTCAGCTGCTATGATTCCGACACAGACCTTTACAGGATCGAGCCAGTCAAAATTCTGGCCTGGGTGTGTAAGTGGAGGAGTAACTGCTGAGGTGACTGCTGAGGGAGGGAGGGTCACTTAGATTCCCACGCCACAGTGAAAGGTCTCTCTGCTCTTTGACTATGGATATGATTGACTAGCTTGTGCCAGATTCCCGTCTTGACTCCCCCACAATGATGTGACTTGTAATATGACTTGTGAGTCACACAAACCCTATTTCACTCAGCTGCGTTTTCTCAGGGTATTTTTATCACAGCAACAGAATGGAACTAGGGCAGCAATAGGAGTGAATGGCCAGGGCAGGGACAAACCTGCTCACATGGTTCTTCCCTAGTACTGTGGAAGAGACTGAAACTGTCCATTCCTTATGCTTGCCTGCCTTACTAGATCCTGGGCAAGTACCCTGCTTATGGGAGGAATGCCATCCTAATGCATATTTAATAAAACGATGAATCTGTTGAAGTCTCACCAAGAAATGAATAAAAGAAAAAACCTTGTAGATGAGTTTTAGAGCATCTGTATTAGGCAAGTAATGTAAAGGACAAATATTCAGCAAATGTTAGAAGTTGACAGGAGATCAAGTTTCCCACTGGGTGTGACTTTCTCCTTCCCTATACTGAGGAATGTAAGACCCTCCAGAGCAAAGAATACCACAGGGAGGACGGTCAAGTCTTTTCCCGCCACAGTCATATCATTCTGGAACTCCAGATTAATTACTTCGTAAAGATCTGAACTCCTGGATCTAATGCTTCTTGGGTACTGTGTTGGCCAATCGTGCCGACGAGGGCTGCTGTCCTAGTTTTGTGAGGATGAACAAGCACATGGAATCCGTTCACGCCTGGACACGCGCAGTCTCTGATCTGAAATTGTGTGGAAGGGGCTAAGCTGTGTTCCTGACCAGGACAGCCACACCTGGGCCACTTTTGTTTATTGTTTTGTTTTGTTTTCTAGACAGGGTTTCTTTGTGGAGCCCTGGCAGTCCTGGAATTCTCTCTGCAGTCCAGGCTGACCTCAAACTCACAGAGATTCACCTGCCCCCCGCCTCCCAAGTGCCGGGATTAAAGGCGTGCGCGCACTACTGCCCAGCGTACAGCTGTGCTTCTTATCTTGATGAAGGTGCTGTGAAATGTCCTGGCAGATCCAAGCTGCAACCCTTGCACATGCCAGTGTCTGCCCCTGCAGATGTCATCTGCGGAAGGGGAAGTAGTGTGAGGGACTGACTTTCCTGACATGCTAATGGGTGCGGTGATAGTTTGTGTTTTAACATTTTAACAAAGCTTCCTTGAAGATAAGAATGCAGAGCTAAGCCAAAAGAGCCTGGCAATGGTGGCATACACCTTTAATCTCAAGACCCAGGGAACAGATGGATCTCTTTGAGTTCACAGCCACCCTGGGCTACACGAAACTGATCCCGTCTAAAAGAGAATCAGAATTCACACAAAGGTGACCCTAGCACTTGGGATCACACGCCTTTAATCCCAGCACTAGGGAGGTGGAGAGAGGAGTGATATGGCCAAATAGAAAAAGGAATATAAGGAGGGAGGAGACAGGAACTCAATACAGTTTGAGGAGCAGTGTAGTCGAGGCAGTCAGTCTGAGAAGTCAGTCTGAGTACAGGATCGTCCCTTTGGTAGAGGTAAGAACTCTCTAGTGGCTGGCCACTAGGCTTCTCTGATCTTCAGGCAAGCTTTATTTGTTAAAACACAAACAAAATATCACTACAAACGGGGTAAGCTTTTTATCTTACCCTTTCCTTTCTCATCCCAAAATGGTTATTTGATAAAAATTGTGTTCTTGATCAAAGGCGACGTGGGCTATCTTGAGGTATTTTTCAAGCTGACCTGATTATTTTAGACTTTCAACTTCATCCCCATATAAGCCAGTGTTAGTCATGTAAGCCCAAATCCACAAGTGCACGCTTACATTTCTTAAGGTCTTTCAGTATGTCAGGCACCACTGAGAGAAATCCCCAAGGCTACTTATTTGCCCCTCCTAACCAGTTCCAGATTTCAATCGAGCCTCCAGTGATGACCTGATTACTGTGTCATCACACTGGTTCCCAGCCACAACAAGGTCACCACGTAGTAACCTGAGTCCAGATTTAAACCCAGCGAGACTGGATCTCTGCCCTGGCTTTTTAGGTGTCCCTTCCATTGCTGCGGTACTTGCCAGTGCCTACTGAGTGAAGGCGCCAAACTTAACCAGGCCTTGACTCTCTTCCGCTTCCTGGTTTCCAGTCTGTGTCTCTGGGGGCTGCTTCCCTTGGACCTGAGGAAACAGTAAATGGGATTCATGAGCCGTTCTGGGTCCCTCAGTTTATCAGGAAAAGCTAGGCCGTTATCCTGACAGTTGGCAGCAAAATCTTTAAGGCATTGGTTTCTCTCTTTCCTGAAAAATACCTGGGATATTTTTCAGGTGTGGCCAGGTAAAGATAAAGGTCAGTGAGGAAATAGATAACATGATGCTCTGGGCAGCATGCTGGCTATGGCTTTCCTTCCACGTGTACACAGGCTGGAAGGCATGCCCTGACTGTTAAATTTTAGGTATGGTGGGGAAACCCTCCATGGAGGAAGACTGACTCATCCAGTCTGGTGAAGGGTGGCTGGCTTGTGCTGGGGACAAGAGAATAGGGATCTATTGAGCTGAAATATTGGGGGAGGCCAGGTCCAGTAGTGAAGGGGACAGTGTGAACGGATTCTCAGAGAAAAGTCTGGAAAAGAGGGAGAGCCAGGCATAGAGATAAAGTGGGATAATGGTGGGAAGTGTAGTTGAGAGGGGGAAGGTGGGACAGAAAACAGGAAGAATGGGTTGGGCTGGAGAACAAGCTGAAGGCTACAGAGCTCACTGGACAGGATGAGGGTAAAGACATTTGGAACAAGAACGGGGGGAAAGAGTCAGAGTGGAAATGAGGTTTAATATATAAAATGCTAGAGAGCCATTTTGTCATCTTTCCAGAAGACTCTCCAAACCTCATTCTTCAATAAAAACAGAGCGTGACTTTGCATGTGCCAGACCTGCTGGGACAGTCACCTTCCAGCTCACCTCATGTTCCTCTGGGCCTGACAGACACTGTCAGCACCACCACCTCCCTCTTCTTCCAAGACATCAGCCAGTAGGACCCCTGTCTATTCTAAGAGTGATGGGGCGAGAAGCAAATAAAGAGGGGGAACTGGAGCATTCATGTGTGCTTGTGGATAACATGACATCTACACCTGTGCTTGTGGATAACATGGCATTTACCTGTGTTTGTGAGATAACATGGCATCTACCTGTTCTTGTGAATAACATGACATCTACCTGTGCTTGTGAGATAACATGACATCTACCTGTGCTTGGCTTGTGGGATAACATGGCATCTACCTGTGCTTGTGGGATAACATGGCATCTACCTGTGCTTGTGGATAACATGGACATCTACCTCCCTTCAGATTGCAGGGACAAGGCACGGGACAGAGGCAACTTGCTGGGACCTGGGGGAGCTTCCCTGAATCAGGAACTAGGAAGAGAGTGAGTGCCACATAAGTGCATCTCCAAAGGCCTCTCCTCCCCTTTCCAGCTCCTGCGAGCCTCAGACAACTGGAGAAGAGACCCTTCTTCCATTCTATGAAGCAGGAGGAATCCGTAGACCAGGAAAGGAGAGAGGGCTCCTCAGAAGGCACGCCTGCCTTTGATTTTTACCATAAATGTCTCCTTAAACCAGTTTCTCATATGACAAGTAGGTGGGTTTTGTTTTGCTCAGGGAGGCCTTTTCAGTCATCTGACTGGTGGATTGAATACACCACATAGTTTTCGGGTCGTTATCTGCTGCACTGGAACTGCTGGGCGTCTGTTGTTCCCGTGATGTGTTGCTGTCCTCTCAGCACAAGTCGCTCCCCAGATTTACATGAGTGTTTCATGTGGAGCATGTGTTTCTCCCGTCATTTGTAAACTTCTTGCTGATTGCCCTAGGCTTACAGTCCAGATAACGCTCTCAGAGCACTACCCTCCTCTTGAGACAACACAATACATCCTACCTACAAAACGCTCATTCTACCTGAAAGTTGTTGCATTATTATTCCATTTGACAGAAATGCTCCTCTCTGTAACGTGTGCCTGTGTGTGTTTGAAGTCCTCTAAAACCTTTCTCCTGCATTGCCTGTCTTTCCCTTTCCTCTCTTGTGAGGTAGCCTAAGCGTTTACTGACGTCCTCGCTCAACTGCTAGCGCTCATCACTCCGTCATTAACCACTACAAAGAAGACTTACTCCGGGATGGAGAGATGGCTCAGAGGTTAAGAGCACTGGCTGCTCTTCCAGAGGTCCTGAGTTTGATTCCCAACAACCACATGGTGACTCACAACCGTCTGTAATGAGATCTGGCGCCCTCCTCTGGCATGCGGGCATACATGGAGGCAGAATGTTGTATACAAAATAAATAAATAAATGTTAAAAAAAAAAAAGACTTACTCTCCACAGTATCTCCATTTCATGGCAAGGAAACTGAGTCATGAAATGGCTTAAGATTATACTCCCAGTAGAGCCTGCTCCTGAGCTGAGTCCAGACGCAGGCCAGGCTGGCTCCTGCTCCTCTCGGCTGTCACCTGCAGCACTGCTGAGCTTCCTCGAGCTCACTAAGCCTTGCTTACCACGTGTGTGGGGTCCCATCCGTTTCCTCCAATTCCAGGCTCTAGGTCTGGAGAATGCTTCCTCAACTCCCGAATAATGTGCTGAAAGACATTCAGAAACCCTGTGTGGATCCCTCCCAAGAAGGCTTTCTGACGACTGTGGAAAACCCCTCTTAGGATTCCGATTTCTCCAACCCCTCTAGGCTGTTTCTTGTTACAGCCAGATTCGGTGAGAGAAGAAGGCAGTCAGAAATCAGGAGAAATGAGGTCCAGGCTATCAGCTGACCACATCATCCTGCTTCCCCTCTTTCACTATGATGGGAGTCCTGGAAAACAATCATGGCATTTCTGAAGTGAGCCACCCGCAAGGATTCCTTGTTTTAGACTTACCCAGCCTGACTGAAGGCAGTCAGCTTCCGGATGGGAAAGAGAGACTAGGCAGCTCTCCAGTGGCGCTCTCCCAGGAGAGGTAGTCGTGAGGGTGGACAAAGAGGAAGAGGGTTGGAAGACAGCAGGGCAATTAGCGGCAAGTTTTTCTACACAGGAGGAGCTGGGCATGGTGATCATTAGGGTAGGGAAGTAGGAAGTGTTCTTTAGAGGAGGGAAAGAGGTCGGGTAGAAAACAGACAGGGGATTTGCATTAAAGGCAGGCAGGCAGGTGGGTGGCTGAGATGGGAAGAGGTGAATGCTGGTTGGATAGGCAGAGGACTGAGAAGTCTGAGTGGGAAGAGAATTGCGTAGACTTCCCAAAATTCTTGGATGCTTCCTCCTCATCTTCCTAGAAGCCTGCAGAGCCCTTACTTTCCCAATAGCAGTTTGTGGCTGAGCTTGGCTAGAGCCGCTGTGGCAGTTATGACACAGGTCAGCCCTCACCTCATTCCGTGACAGAATGCCCATTGTGAAGTGTGCACACCCTCCCTCTGCTCCAGGAGGACAGCAGCCTCCCCTTCCAGAGAAATGGGCTCAGGGTCTAGGTATGGGCGTGACCGTGGCAAATAGCACTGAACAGAGACTGTCACATCCGTCTTTGCCTTTGGATAATGCTTTCCTTTCATTGGTGGAGACTAGTCAGACACACGTGCCTGGATCCTGGGACAGCAGCCCCGCAACAGGAACTGTGGAAATGTGTGGACATTGATTTAAGTACCTTTTTAAAGGGTTTTCATGTTACATAATAGGAGAAATAGAAATGATTGAAGATCTTTGTGTGGGGGTGTGTCCCTTTTAAAATCCTTCTCTCTCTGCCTCCTGCCTTCGGATCAGATGTAAACTCCTAGCTACTGCCCCAGCATCACGGGTGCCTGCCTGCTGCCATGCTGCCCAGCATGATGGTCACAGACTCGACCTCTGCAACTGTAAGCCCTTTAAAATCTTTCTGTTGTAAGTCGCCTTGGTCATGGTGTCTCTTCCCAGCAACTAGGACAGATGGAGTACCAGAGAGTGCTGATCTTGTTTGTGACCGACCTGATCATGCTGCTTTGGAGCAATGAGAAGACTTTGGGGCATTAGACTAGGGAAGTTAAACATGGTAATTAGGGCCTAATGGTGTATTCTAGTAGGATCGTGGAAGACCATATTGCCAAGAGCAGTGTGGACCATGGAGTCCCAGCTCCAGGGTTTTCAGAGGGAAGCAATGTTTGCAACTGGGCTAGAGACCATTCTTGTGATAGCGAGGCAAGGAATGCGGCTGCTCCATGCCTTCGCCTTTGAACACTTTCAGTGTAATTCAAATAATTTTCAAAATTTTTATTGAAATTTTATATTTTTATTGAAAAATATATTTCAAAAAATGGTGCTAACTAAACCAGATGTCTGCAAGTAGAAAAATCAAAATAGATCCATACTTATCACCCTGCATAAAACTCAATTACAAATGGGTCAAAGACCTCAATATAAATCCAGATATATACACTAAACCGGATAAAAGAGAAAGTGAAGAATAGACCTGAACTCATTGGCACAGGAAATGAAAAAGAAAGACTTTCTGAAAAGAACATTGTTAGCACAGGCACTAAGATCAACAATTAATAAATGGGACCTCATGAAACTGAGATGCTTCTGCCAGGCAAAGTACGCAATCATTCAGAAAGAAAAAATGGGAAAAGATTTTTTTTCCAATGACACATTCAATAGAGGGCGACTGTACAAAATCTATAAAGAAGCTAGATATCAAAAAACAGAACAGGTAGGATATAGCAAACAAAAATGGCATACAGATCTAAACAGAAAAAAGAAACTCAGATGATTGAGAAATACGTGAAGAAATGTTCCATTAGCCATCAGGGAAATGCAAATCAAAACTACTTTGAGATTTCATTTTACACCTGTCAGAATGACTAAGATCAATAACATAAGTGAGAGCTCATGCTGTCAAGGATATGAAGCAAGGGGAACATTCCTCCATTGCTGGTAGAAGTGCAAATTTGTACAGCCACTACGGAAATCATTGTGGTGGCTCCTCAAGAAAATCAGAATCCATCTACCTCAAGATACAACTCTACCACTTGGAAGTATACACAAAGGATGCTTCAACCTGCCACAGAGACACTAGTTCAACCATGTTCATTATGCTGGCATATTGTTTGTGTTTTAATAAATAAAGCTTGCCTGAAGATCAGAGGGCAAAGTAGCCATACTCGTCTGCCATACAGGCCAGGGAGTCGTGGCACACACTTTAATCCCAGGACTCAAGAGACAGAGACAGATGAATCTCTATGAGTTCAAGGCCGTCTTGGGCTACACCAGATTGATTCTGTCTAAAAGAGAACCAGAGCTCACAGAAAGGTGATCCCCGCACTTGGGATCCCACACCTTTAAACCCAGCACTAGGGAAGTGGAGACAGGAGTCATATGGCTGGGTGGAGAGAGGAATGTAAAAGGGAAGAGACAGGAACTCAGGGGAGTGTGGAGTCTGAGGTTGTGGAAAACATTGTAGGATCACCTTTTGGTCTGAAGATTTGGTAGAGGTTAAAGATCTCTCTAGAGTTTGGCTGTTTTGCTTTTCTGATCTTCAGGTTGAACCCCGTTTGTCTCTGGGTTTATTATTTGTTCTACACTTAGTTCACTGCTACTCTTTTCATACCAACCAGAGATTGAAAACAACCTAGTTGTCCCTTAGCAGATGAATGGATAAAGAAAATGTGGCACATTTACACAATGGAGTACTACTCAGCTTTTAAAGTAATGACATCCTGAGCTTTGCAGGTAAGCGGATGAGATTAATAAAACATCATTCTGGAGTGAGGTAACCAGAACCAGCAAGACAAATATGGTAGGGGCTTAGTCAATGATACGGTGATCCTGCAGATGATAGTACAGAGTGGGGTGGAGACAAAGAGGTCTCCCTAGGAAAGGAAGAAAAGTAAATGTAGATGGATGGGAAGGGGGCTGCAACAGGAGGATCAAGTAGGAGAGACGAGGAAGAGGGGGTCAAAGGAGGGAATTTGGGGAAAGGCAGCAAAAATTAAGGGCCATTTGAAAGGCCATTGAAAACAATACAGTAGAAACGTCCTAAAACATATCCATATGTGAATACAGTCTAAATTAAATTGCCAAATAATGGAGGAGATAGAGCACCAACTGGTCATCTCTTGCCACCCAGTGAAGCTTCCAGTACCAGGATTGGGTTACATCTAATTAAGTTGTTGACCTGAGGGATCCCATGGAAACCCCCCAAACAATCCAGGCAGTTGCTATAGGTTGCTCTCTACAAACTGATGGCAAGGCCCCATTGCTGAAGACAACACCTACACAACTCATTGAACTTGAAGTTGAGCTGGTGCCCACATAGAGCCTTCACCCCTACAAGCTAGCATCTTTGGCACAGGAAGATTTTCTGAATGCTACCTACCAAAGGATCAACCCAACTATAAACTCTTTGATCAACAATGCTGTCCTGCCTGCAAGATACGCTGGTGCAATAGTGGCACAAAACTTGTGGGAGCAACCAACCAACATTTAATTTGATTTAAAGCCCACTTCATGAGATGGAACTCATGCCTACACCGCTTAGGTGACCAAGAACATGAGACTAGATAGACCAAGGTTCTAGGAGAAAGTTAAATACTATTTAAAAAATGATAAAATGACTCCTAATGGCATTCTGTTATACTCATAGATCAGTGCCTTTCTCAGTTATCAGATAAGCTTCCCTCCTGCCGCAGATGGGAACAAATTCAGAGACCCATAGCCAGACATAATACAGAGTGAGAGCTCTTGGAACATAGACCCAAATGGAATGCTTCCATCAAATCTCTTACCCCAGCATTCAGGGAACCCCATTGAAAAGTAAGCAGAAAGAATGTAAGAGACAAAGAGGATGAAGGACACCAAGCAGACAAATCCCTTCCAATCAACGTGATCCACGCTCATATGAACTCACAGAGACTGGGGTAGCATGCACAGGGCCTGACTGGATCTGCACTAGTTGGGGCCCTAGAACTGAGAGGAGGTGTGGGAAAATGTCCACATCGCTAATCCAGAAGCCATCTCCACTGATAACCACTTGCAAATGAAACTTTCATTTCCTCCAAGGGATTCTAATGGAAGAAACAAACTATTCATGAGGGCAGGGTGCATGCCCACCCATAGTTGGCCAACAGAAAATGAACTCAAAGGCATCTTTGGAGGTTCATTGTCTCATAATATCAGCCAGGCATTTGTTGTCTCTTCATGTGAGAGCATCTGGGTTTGTCAATTAAGGTAACCCAATTAGTAGCTTGTATCCAGCTTTAAACCCAATAAGTTGAAATACCTGTCTTGTCCTCCCCTTCTAAGCCCGTGTCCCTTACTATTGGGACTAACTATATTTTCTAAGTGAGTGAGCCACATTTACCCGGGGTCCTGGTTAAAACGACTGAGCCCAAAACAAAACAAAAGCCCATGAATGTTGAACATGGACTCCCTAGGAAGGAAAGAGGTAACAGAAGTAGAAAGGAGAGAAGATTGCTCACAGAGTCATCAGAATGCATTGTGTTCATGTCTACATTGTCCAAAAACAAATTGTGAATCATTTTTTTAAGCATGAGAAGACTCAATCATTAACAAAAGGTGTATGCAATTGGGTTTGTAAAAAAAAAACAGTACTTTTTCATAAATGAAAATGGACAATTAAGATTTATGAGAATAGTGCGGGGGAGGGGGTGCATGATGTTGCTCTCTGCCATGGGGCTTCAAGCAGCAAACAGAATCCAAATCCCTTGGTCTGGAACCACCTGTGACAATCCACATGCTCTTGACTAGGTGACACCACTAGCTAGAGATCAGAGAAAGAGGTTGGTTCGGCAAGGCCTGGTGATGGGGTCATGGTTTAGTGGATTTGATGAGCTGAACAATACCAGATGCTGCGGAGGAAGGCAATGCTGGGGAATGAGAACCCAATCACCACTTCCCCCATGTACTCAGAGGTGCCAGTGGGTAAGGACCGTGCAAGATGACTGGACATCTTATATTGAGTTGTTAAATTATCGATTCCCCCAAAGTTGGGATATGGTAGAAAGTGGGACATGGTGTGTGTCAGTCAACAGTGTCCCCAAAACATGACAGACAGTAATTGTCAGCTAACAGATATGAAGCTAGAGCAGCACAGTTGAAAATTTTTGAACTGGATCTAGGGGTTGTCACCCCTGAGTAATCTGTTTCCCTTTCTCTGCTGGGCACAGAGATTGTGCCCAGCCAGAGGTTTTTGGTAGAAAGATATGGCCAATGAAGGCATCCGCTTGCTGCCGCTGTGGTGTTATGCTAGCCATGGGTTCACCAGCCCTGTTTGCTGGCATCAGGCAGCAACCCAGATTGCCAGTCCTGATTACCAGGCAGGCATTCGCTCAGACTGACAAGCAGGTGTAGCCAAGGGGGTGGGTGCAG